AAAGAACTGGTAGTTAATCATCTGCACTTACGGAGTATTGTTCACTTTTGATGGGAATATCGAGCAAGCATTGCTGAGACCCGCCGACTGGTTTTTGGCGGAGAAACTTCTGGTGCCTCACCGGAACGTCTGTTAAACTTTAAACGCTCACATTGACTGGGTCATGCCTTCTGTATCCCTGTTGACCGGTTCCATTAGTGTGCGCTACCAGCGTTAGAGTGACCAGTCGATGTGGTAGCATAAAAGAATGATGAAAATAACGGAGTGGCTTTGTTCAGGCTGGTATGTGCTTTCTTCGTGTGGGAGACCCCATGTGTGGCGCCTCAGTGGCTAGATGCCTTGACAACCATGATGCAGTCGCGTACTCGGTTTCTTACACTTAACTGCTAATTAGTTTTATGCGTTTCTTTCTTAACTCCACACTTTTGTGTTCTGTTAGCGTTCTACCTCATTGTGTCACCATTACTATTTGTTGTTCTTCTGGTGACGCGAGTTGTGGTAACTGAGTTCACCATGCTTCCGTGCTTGGATCGTAGCTGTTTGAGAGAACGAAGCCTCGTGTATTTATATTTTTTGTCAAATGCAGACGCTATGGAATATACTGCCAATTCCTAAAACGGTTTAGTCTTGTTCTATCATATGTTGCCCAGCTTGAACTTTCGACCCGGATAACCGTGTTGCGCGTGTAAGCCCTTCGAACTTCATGCAAATTGGGTGTTGTGCGCCCGAAATCACTGCACTTCACTGCGCGTTTCGATCTTATTTGGTCTAATCAGTTAGAGATAGGACACCTCGAACTCCAGACCACTGGGATGTTAATTGAGACCTCTATTCATTTAGCCGCTGGGTCACGACAAGTACCTCTTGGCACAACGGTTACCAACTGTTTGGAGGATAATTTCGTGGTACTCGTTGAGTGATTGAATTGCGACGCACAACCTCGATATGGACCGTGATTCGCATTGAGGCGAATCTTGCTTAGTTCGGTCATTAGGACCGTAGCTGCGGCGTATGGAAATCGGGTGTTGCCCATCCTAAAACACTCCACTCCACTACGCGTTTCTACATTGATCTCAGCTAGAGATGTTAGTTGAAACCTCTATCCGTTTAGTCACTGGGTCACGACTGGCACAATGATTACTGACGCGTCTTGGATTTCAGTGTTATCGGGTAGACAACACGCAATTTCCTGCTACTTCAACTCCGGTGCTAGTGATCGAATTGACCAGGATTCACTTCAGTCGAATCACGGTCTACATTGAGGTTGCGAGTCGTATTCCAATCACATAATGATTACCTCTAGCTGACCGTTTTGATTTCAGCAGTGTTGACAAAAATTTACTCATTGGGTAGCCGTCCATCTCAACCGGACAACACACGTTTGAGCAAACATTAGTGCAACTTACGAGATGCACCCATTGATGCTGCTTGGCCAAATCTAAGAGTGGTCAGTTATAACTGTTTAATAGTTCGCCACTAACAAATCGCCAGATGTGCCATTAACGCCTTCTGAATCAAATTTTTTGTATCAGGCACTTTTTCTGCAGTTTTCTCATTTTTTTACCATGTCGAATACAACTCCTTTATCGTTCTGTATATTACTAACGGTTTTCAACCCCATTAGTTCATGTTTTTTTTAAATATCCATTCATTCGATTGGCAGTTTTCTCTGTGAGGCGGTACGTGAGCCTGGTTGCCACCGCTCAACCTGGTCGCATAAATCAATCCACATTTTGTATAATTTGACTTCTTACACTTGCAGGTTCGCATATTACTAGCTCCTGCCGGGTGTGTCGTGCATCTCTTGCAAGTTTCCTTGTATTCACTCATCAAGTGCTTCTTCCGATAGCACAACTACTTTACGTTGTCGTTCTTTTGTCTTCGGTCCAATACCGGCTTCCACCAGAGGTTGAACCATTAAGCTTGTGCGTGTGTACCTTGCTTTGTTTTAGCTCTTACTGTGTCAGGTTTCAAAAGAAGTAAGTAATTTACTCTCTAGCTAAACGTTTTGACTGGAATCGGCAATGACGTCGCGATGACACGTGTTCGTCCACTCACCCTGTCTAAAGGACATTCTCGCACAAATAAAGCACTTTTTATCCCTCTATTTATGACACTACTTACAGCATGTTTGCTTCTTAACCTGCTTTCGACATTCTCCTAGAAACATCGCGAATTGCGTTGCCCTTCAGTACGCTTGTTCTTGTTACACTTTGACGAATACCTCTTGCGACATCGCTTTTCGTTCATTCTGTCCATGAATCTGTTTGCATTCGCTAGCCCTTTCATTCCGCCGATCTTCTGCAGTTACAAATCGGCACTATTAGTTGACTTCCGCTCATCTTTACTGTGGATTTGTTGCTCTCCTCTTTCCTAGCTCCACGGACTGAGCTCACTCGCTTGCTCTTTGTTTGTAGCCTGTTCCATAGTCGCAATGCTGGTTTCTCCAGGTTTACATGCTTAGCGCATGAAGTCTTAGTGGTGTGAATGGGACCCGTGCTCCGGATCTCAACACTCCGTTTTGCCTTGCGCGATACCCACGGGACACTGGTACGTTGTGTGCTGTACGCCCTTTTCAATTCCATATGAATTGGAACCCAGTGCAGTCAGCCACCAATTACACGGCCACTGATATGCGGAAGAACATTTGACGACATTTTTGTGCTTTTTTTTGGATATCTATCTACGCTATCGAAACCTTCACACGAGCAGCAGCAGCAACAACTGCTTCTGCTTCTGCTACTGCTGCCGGATTCCTAGCGGACTCTGAGGTGCGCGCAGTACGAACGAGTCCTGTTCGAATCAAGTGACCTATGCTTTCCCGGATGTGTGGGTGACTATCTGATTGCGAGCGAACTGCAATGAATTGTGTACAAAGCGTTTACATCTATCAATGCGGTATTTCTCGACAGCTTGAGGCACTGTTTACTAATGACCACTATATGCAGATTTTATCCAGAACTATTTATGCAAATAATTTTTTTGTTTTCTGCGAGACATCAGTAGGATATTTCTTCCGAAATGCGTCATGCATTGGCCATAAATATTTCTTCAAAATTTCGTAACTTATTGCAGTCCCAGAAATCGTAAAGTGGAGCAAACTACAAATGTACAACTCATATGGATTATCAATGCAAAGCGTGAGGTTAGAATACATCATCATACTACACGTTAGCTGGAGGTGGGGAACACCTCAGCTACTGTGCCGCAAGAGGTTAGAATAACAAAACTTCCTAGATCGCGCTAAGCTTCTTCGTAAGATCCATGTATGCAGAGCGCACAGTGTAAGGATGGGCTTTAGTACTTAACCGGAAGTCGACAAATAGAAAATATTTTAGCAAATACCTTTCAAGGCGTTGTCCTAGACATCATTTCTAGCCAATTAGCACGATGCAATACTTTCAGGCTACATTCGTGCAGCACTGAAGGAACCGAATCATCAGCCACATGACCTATTGGTGGCTCCCGAGCTGGCTACTGATTTACCACATCATTCACTGCACTTGATGTTTTCTGACTTTTCTCCAATTTTACGCAATCCATGTGCCCCACTCACTTACCTGGCATCTGCATCGCATACACTTGCTGCACCAATCACCAGTGGGTATCGTTAACACACTTCAGATACTTAACATAATTGCCCACTAACTGTTGTGCCGTGGTACTAACGATCCTCATCTCAAAATGAATTACTCGGGTCGGAAACACGACTCAGAGGCTTTGAGGTTCTGAGGAACGAATACGTTTGTATCTTTTGTTTTCTCTAGCTTTCACTACACCAATTTAGACAGTGATGTAATGTTCCACACAATCCATGCCGCGGTTCACCTTGTATAGCTGTCCAATGCGCATTGGTGGTTCCTGTTCCGCTTAGTACTGAGCAGGGGGACCCCATCGGTACGGATTTTAGGGCTTTCACTCTACCATTTATCCCGAATGGATCACCGTGCAATGTAATGCTCATATTTTCCTGACATGGGCACAATCGGAAATCACCAACCGACGCCTGTTGACATTCGTCCCAGCTGCCTAGAATGGGCTTCATTTGATGTTTCGTTAGCGAATGCTTTTACCGGTCTCCTGTAAAAGTACTGCCACCGAGTTCATTCAATAAAGGTAATCACAACGGTCTCTCCTGTCGATATGTGGCCTGGCCTCCTATCCTTGTATTTAGTTCCTGCAATCCAGTATGGTAGATCACAAGCCAGCACATCACGTAATAGCTGTTGTGGTTGCTGACATCGCTTATCACTCCGCTGTATTCCTCTCGCTTCAATGGTCTTCCGGCTGGAAGACGACTCCTTCCACAACGTGTTGCACTGTTTTGAACCCCACTGATTCGTTCCACTGCGGTTAAATTGCGCGTTTCTATGCACTCATGGAGCCAGTTACTTGAGTTCGATCCAAGTGAAAGTTGTTTCTCACTGGTTCAGGGCGCCAACGTTTATTGGTTGTCCATTGGAAGTCTAGGTGTTGCCTTTAAGCTGTAACAGCGAGTTCACATTACGTAGATTACAGTGCGCCTGCTCATGTGACCCTTGCTTTTGTGTTGTAGACGCTGGGAGACAAAGGCAAAGTGACCGAAGTGTTGGTTTCTCCTTTACACTGCTCTCCATCCTGTTTTCATCTTGCACAATGCACGCTAACAAAACAGCTCTGCGTTATCCTTCCTTTATCGTTCTTGACCCTCAAGTTATTCCTTTTTCTACTGAGACTATTTTTATCACTTCGCCTACGTCGTTTAGAAGCGCTAGAGTTGAGTTACTTCAGATGTAGTTTGTTATCTCACTCCCGAATTCATTGTGTCTTGCGGTAGTTTGAACACGGAGACAGAACAGCAGTCCTCACTAAATACAGTTGTTCTGTTATGTCTCGTATCCCCTTTCCTTCCATTTGAACTCGTACCACTCGACTAATTATGTGGACTCCATCGCATTCTGTACTCCGCAACCTGCCTTTCACACACACCAATGCATCACCTTTTGTGTTTCTCTTCTCAGTGGGTGCGAGCATGCTATCACAGCGCATCAAACAGCAATACAAACAATCCACATCTCGCTTGGTGTCTAGCCTTCGTCAGTCCACGGGTCATTCTACTGGCGGTGCTGTGATTCCTCCTTCACCTATGACCCACGGACCTACCCACGGCGTTCCTTTTGCGCAGAGCAATTCATCCGTGCAAGTGGCAACAAGCCTGCCATCAGCTACTGCCGGCCCTGCAGTTTTCGTCGGTTCCTTTGCTGGGCATGGCGGAATGTGGCAACTGATGTCTCGTGTTTCCGCACATCGGGACGGTATATGGGAAGTCACTCCATATCGTCGATTTGTGGCTTCAGCATCCGCAGACACAACAGTTCGGCTGTGGTCTAACGATGTGCAATTGAAGTGAGTCACTGTCTTTAGTTTTCCACTCTCACTTGACTAGCACTATTCATCTTATCTGTTCGAACCTTTTCAGTCATTTATGGCATCCACTCTCCCCTTATCGCGGTCTAGCATTTATCCATCTCCTTCAACATCGGGCATTTCCCATTTTTCACCTTGTGTTCTTATCCCCGGCTCGATTTGACTTGCATATCTGCTCATTTCTGCTTCCTTTATCCTTCTGCGATGCTTTTTGTCCTCGTTTCCTTGCCAAGTAACCGTTTTGCTTATGAATGCTACCATCCCAACCAACTTGCACTTTCTCGATGCTACCTCATCCAGCTGGAAAACTCTGTCAACGTAACTTTATTCGGCCTGAGAGATTTATTGTCTCGCCCGTGGGCTGAGATTTCGGCCCTGTTATTTCTGCATGCCACTACTACTACTACTACTACCACCTCTACTACTACTACTACTACTAATAATAATAATAATAATAATAATAATAATAATAATAATGTTTCCGCGGTACGCCATAACGGTGCTTCGCTGCCGCACCACGATCACCAGTCCCGCGCGTGAGCTGAGTATACTACGAGGACGCCCGCCTTTACGCGGATTCGAATCGGTGACCTTATGATTGCAAGCCAGGCGTGCAGACCACTCGGCCAACGGCCACGGCATACTTCTCTGAATCAGGCACATTTGTTCAATCCATCTTAAGTTGGTTTGCCTAACCATAACTCAGCGTCCTGTTTTTTGGCGCATGTTATCGCCTTGACCTTGCCTATTGAGAACATGTTAACTAGGCTCTTCATATTGAAACCAATTCTCGTTTTAAGATTGATTCTGCAAGTTTTCTAATATTTATTTTCTTTCACTCAGCTGCTTGTTGGTTTACATGGGGCATTGTGGTTCCGTTAACTCCGTTCGTTTTCGCGGTCGAGATCAGTTGATGCTCACCTCCAGTGGTGACGGTACGGCCCACCTGATCAAAATGCCTTATGACTTGTTGCTCAAAGCTGCCGGATCACGGGCATCGCATGGACCAACTGGTGTTACTTCTCCCGTCAATCAAGAGGGAACCACCACAGCGACCTCAGCAGACGTAGCTGGATCCGCCTTCTCCATGCCCATGTGCCCCACCCCCGGTGCGTGTCTTTTGACCAAATGTATTGCGTTCTACTCTAGCCTACTGTTCAAGACTTCGCATCTTTAGACGTTTGATTTTCTGCTCATTCACTCCATAACTGCCGCACTTCCATGATAGAGCTATGTTTCACTGGGTTAAGGATTATTATCTTCCTTTGTGGGCTGTCGTTTGAACTTCCTAACAAGTCTGGTAAGCGAAAACTCGTTTTCTTTCATAATCCCCCTTTTGACGCGATGATCGCGTCGCATTATTCACTTCATCTTATCTTTGTTACTTTCTTGCACCTGTTGTTTTGCATATATGCCGCTTGGGAGCTTGGTCCATGCAGGACTGCTGTGCGCTGTGTTAGCGTATTTTTCACGCCACGTTTATCTGTTACGTTCACACAAGATGTAAGCTACATGTGATTCGTCTTCTCCACTCATGCCTCGAAATGTGATCCCACTGCATACTGAATATCATCGCCGAGATCCACTTAACACACTTCTCAAGTGTATTTTTTCCCAGGTGGACCACATTGTATGACACCTTTTTGTCACTCTTACTTTCAGGAACAGCAGTCAAATTTCCCCTGGACTCTGATGAGGCTGTTTGTGATTCGGCAGATGATGGTAGGTGTTCCAGATTTTTCGCGTGGCAGTCGTTTTGTTGTATGCTGTGATAATCTCCTTATTCATGCATCATGCAAAACACGGTGCCAACTGGTCGCTGGGTGCATATGTGCTGCAGTTATCAGCATGTGTTCAGAACCTCTAGCCGTATTACACTTATCTGAATGTGTGGTTGTTCATATTCTTCTCTAAATACTATATCAGTGGTCCACTTTTTTCGCCATACTTGTCACCGCACCGCCCACTTATCTTTTCTGTCAGTCGTGCTTGTTCTCTGCAGTTTTCCTTACATGCGCTCATTTTGAGTTGTTTTAGGTGTAGTTTTCCAAGCACCATACTTTTGGCATCGTCCATCGAGGGGAGAAATCATTTTACTTATTCCTTGCTTCACGTTTCTTTTACCGATTATGCAATGCTCTTGTTCCCATCGTCATTCTCTTCTTCTTTCCTGTTATTTACGTTGTCTCTGCAGGCGGTAGTTCCAACGCACCCGTCCACGTACAGCATCCTCACGCTGTTTTTCAATCTGCCAATATCTACCCCGTTGGATCTTCATGTGGATTGACCGGCGCGGCCAACTCTAGTGCTACTGCAGCTACGGGTAATTCGATGGATTCTTCTCCACTATCTGCTGCTGATTTTCTCACTTGTGGCGATCAGATCGTTACAGCTGGATGGGATCGTTTAGGCCGGATCTACGACCTGACCACTGGGCAAGAAGTCAACTCACTAACGGGTCATGGTCATCAGCTAACCGATGTCCGGTGTTCGCCTGCGGGCGTTCCGATCGTGGTCACTTCATCGAGAGATTGCACTTTTCGTTTGTGGGACTTTCGACAACCCGGCATGCGTGTACATGTTCAACAGGCTCACACACAGTATGTCCTTTGTCTGGCCCTTCGTTTTTCTCAATACGCTTCACTCGCATTATCTTGAGTCACACTTTGTATGATTCGTCCTATTATCGTTTCATGTGTTTTTTGACCATTTGATCGTTACTCCCCTTTTGACCAATGACATTGGTCGCCTTTTCTGTGAGATCCATCCGTTGTGCGTTAATGTGACACCTACTGCTTAACTCACGGTACATCTTGTCCTAAAACTTATTAGATTATTGCAGTCTTATTGGTCACCCGAACATACATGGCAAGCATTTTTGTCTCCATTTCACTGAGTTTGTCGCCTGGGTACACAGCAACTACAGAGACCGTGGTGTATTTTACAGCTAATTCACCATTGCGCAACCATAAAATCGGATATGCTGCCATAGAGATCGGGTTGGAAGAGGGGACGAAGGGGCCAAATTTCACCAACCATGTGTTCACGGCTGTTGCTCGGAAATTCCTTTGACAATCGCCCAACCCATTACTCTTCACATCAGCTTAAAGCGACCAACTTAACAACGAAGAAAATCCCCACTGTCTTACTGCTCAGAGCCAAGGACTAGTCGTAGTAATCCCTCTTCGAATGAGCCGGTGGAGTGCAACATGGAAGCTCCACTTTCGTCACAAATTTTCTCTGGTTACCTTATCATAGGAACCTCCTCTAATTTTCCCCACACTTTTTAGTTGTGTCACTGCGTCATCCAACAAACCAATCGTCTCATCTTACATCGGCTCTTACATTCTCCTAGTTCCATGTTGAGTCAGTCAACGGGCAAACTTTGGTCTCCCTTCGCACTTTCTCGGAACGCCCCTGTGTTATGCACCCGAAGCACACACAAGAATGTAATTCCTTGTTAACCCTTCAACTATGTCTTCAGATGGCGCTAGCTGTATTATTCACCTTCCTAGTGGTTGCTCTGGCCACCACAGAGGATAATCAACGGCACCTTATCTGCTGCATCGATCAGGGTGGATAGGGGTTTGGATGCTACTACTCAAGCCTTCCCGTCTTCTTATCCCCCTCTTACGCTTTTTCATCCTTATCCTCCCGTTCCAGCTTCACTTTTATCTCCCCTGTTTTCAACCCCCAATTTTTTCCCTCCCCCACCTTGCTTCAATAATCGCTTGTCTTTTATTTTCAACTCACACATGAACCTGGAGCGTCATTCCTGCCCTGCCAACAGGCCCATGTCCAAGAAAGCGGTGAAACCCAGTTCATCGGCTTCCATTTGGAGCCCTCGATTATGCTTCAGACTGGCATGCCTCAATGTACTCACATTGCTTCAGCTGGGTCAACATTAGAGACCCTCTCGATTGATATCTGCTGCTTATCGGAGACCCGCCTGCAAGACTCGAGCTCTGTGCCCACTACGATCCCCTTCAGGTGACACCAGCAGTAATTTCATTGCGCCTATCCGGTGACGATGCAACTTCGCGTACGGCCAAGCCGGTGTTGGCATTGCCCTGAGTCCCCGGACTGAAGGTACTCTGGTTGATTGGATCCCAATCGGTAGCCGGATGTGTGCGGTCCGATTGGCTGGCTCGTCCAAAGCTTCGAAGTCGCTAGGGACCAACAGGTGTCTATTCGTTATCGCTGCCTATGCACCCACAAACTGTAGCGATGACTCGGTAAAAGACGACTTCTATCGTCAACTGAACGAGCTCCTTCACCACAGAAGAAGCTCGAACACTGTTGTGTTGGCTGGAGATCTGAACGTTCAAGTTGGAAAATTATCCACTGATGAACTAGGTAGTGATAATCATGCTAGCACCCTAGAACAACAGATAGCACTGAATAAGTTGCGTTGGCTCGGGCACGTGCTATGCATGCCTGGTCACCGCTTACCCAGGAGGGCCTTGTTCAGTATACCGGGTGTAGGATGGCGCAAGGCTCGAGGTGACCAGAAGTTGACTTGGCAGCGGGAAATGAAGTCATTGACAACCAAACTGGGTGCCGTTGGTCCGTCTCGCCTTCCGGGTTGGAGTCCACGTGACTCACCTTGTGCTTGGCTCGAGACTTTGCAGGACATGGCTTGCAGTAGACACCAGTGGCGCGTCTGCTGCCGTCTTCTAATCGGATTGCCAGTTTAAAGTATGTTTGGTGCTGAGTTATCTGCGGGGTAATGGCTGATTATGACACGTGGCAGTGAAAATCGCAAGGAAGCTGTCTCGCCGATGCCGCCTTATCTTTGCAAGATAGCCAGCTGTTTGTGACGGTATGTTGTCTACACAAGGTGTAGGCGCCTTGACCCAGAATGTTTGCTTAGGGCATTAAGGTTTTTCAGGTAAGTCCCCCTTTCTCTCCCACTTCTTATTCTTTATTTCATATATCTTCATGGTTGTATGACAGCGAAGCATCAGTTCAAATGACTGCTATACTGCTGTTGATGATGATGATGATGCTGGTGGTGGTGGTGATGATGATGATGATGACGACGACGATGATGATGCTGATGGTAGAGATGATGATGATGACGATGATGATGGTGGTGGTGGTGATGATGATGATGATGATGGTGGTGGTGGTGGTGATGATGATGATGATGATCATGATCATGATGAACTGCATCTGGGCGCCCAACATGCTGTAGACTCCTGTAATGATAACGGTGTGCGCTTAGTTCACTTGTGCGAAGATACTCGCTTATTTCTTGCGAGCACTACTTTCGGACACAGCACCTGCCGGAGGGTGAGTTGGCGCCCACCAGCCTCGAACCAGCTATGGACGCAAGTCGATTACATTGCGATAAGTCACCGATGGGGAGGCTGGATCCATAACTGTCGCTCGATTTGGAACACATATGTGGACACCGACCATGCACTTGTATGTGCTGACTTGCGGATCCGCTTTGGCGGACGCCCAAGACGACGTTGTGAGCGTATTGACTCCAGCCAACTGGCGAAACCAGCTGTTCTGAATGTCTATCAAACTATTCTGTCATGCGAGTTGAGTAAACGCTCACTAGATGCAGTTGATCCTCACTGGTCTCATATTCACCAGACCTTACTAGCAGCAGGCAAATCCTCATGCGGTAAGTCTAATCGCCAACATAAACATTGGGTCTCTTCGCAGTCTCTGGAGCTTATCGATGCTCGCCGGCATATTCCGGCTGGAAGCGGACGCAATGAAACTCGCAAAGAGCTCCGGGCAAAACTCAGTGCTAGCCTGATGAGAGCGCGAATCCTGGTTGTCTCATCGTGCTTCTGAGATGGAAATGGCCGCTGCTCTTGGTAACCATCGTAAGTTATTCCGTCTGATCCGCGAAACTGGCAGCAGGAGGCCTGGTGTTAGTGGAACTATAGGTGAGGAGAGCGGACAGCCTATCCACAACTTGTCGAAACGTTTGGAGCGTTGAGTTGACACCTTGAAAGAAATCTAATCGGTCGGAATTGTTAGATTTCTCGCCGGCCACTGATCGCTCCGCTCTGTGGGCTATCCCTTTGGATCGACCCTCTCGCTCAGAAGTCGAACGTGAGATCGGACTGTTGAAGTTAACTAAAGCCGCGGGACCAGATGATCTTTCTCCAGCCCTCTTAAACTTCGGGAGACTTGATCCTGTGAAACCGTGGGAGCAGGAAACTGTCCCAACCGAGTGGAGCCACTCCGTCATAGTCCCAATTTTCAAGGGAGGCTCACGATCGGATTGCGGCAGTCATAGAGGAATCAGTCTGATCTCCGTCGCCTCCAAATTGCTTGCCTCTATCATCCTTCACAGACTGACTGGCACTCGTGAAAGCCAGATTCGTGAAGAGGAAGCCGGGTTTCCTCGAGGTCGTGGCTGCACTGACCACATCTTCACTTTGAGTCAGTTGTTGGAGCACCTTCATATTATTTTGGTAGCCCACTGTTGTGTTCGTCGCTATTAAAGATGCATTCGATTCGGTGGATAGACATGCACTTTGGGACTGTCTACTCAGGAAAGGTGTACCCGAGAAATATGTAAATATTATCCGAGCATTATACGCGCGTAGTAAAGATAGATTGGGGGCTTACGGTAAGCTGTCGTCTCCCTTTAATATCTTCAGTGGTGCGAGATAAAGATATCCGCTGTCAGCTTTCCGCTCCCACTTCGCTATTGACAAACTCATGGAAATCGCGTTCACAGGACACGACTTAGAAGGTGTGGATCTGCTCCCAGGAAAACGGCTTCTTGACTTGGAGTATGCAGACGATAATGCCCTAACCTGTGACAACTCACAAACGTTCCAAGCGGCACTGGACAGATTAGAACTGGCTGTCCGTCACTTCGGACTTTGCTTCGCACCCTGGAACTGTAAAGTGTTCCTCCAAGATGGCCCTGGACCGCCTCCTACGCTGACCCTTGGTGGGGATCAGCTAGAAATCGTTCAAAAATTCAACAACATGGGAAGTAGTATCAGGGCCCGTGGGATTGACGATGAGAACAAAAACCGTATAGCTCTTGCTATACCGTCGCCACTTATGGCGTCGGCGTGACATCACTCTCGCCATGATGGGTAGAGTGTACAATGCAGCGGTACGTTCGACCTTACTGCACGGTCGTGGAACCTGGCCCCTTAGATCAGCGACCTAAAGAGGCTCGTTACCACCGACGATTGGTGCCTTCGCAGTTTGGCTCACATTTGGTGGGAACACCGTGTGAGCAATGAGCGTGTTCGACGCCTTGTTTACGGCACAGGAAAAGGAAATGAACCGCTCAGCACCGTTATTTCACGCACCAGGCTCCGATGGCTCGACCACGTATGACGCATGTCAGCCCACCGACGCCCGCGACGTGCGTTGTTTGCGCGCCGAGGATGTAAGTGGAAGAAGAGTAGGGGTGGCAAAGCGATGACTTGGTCGAGAGGAGTGAAGGCCCTCACTTCGAAGCTGGCCTCAGTTGGAGCGTCTCGGTTCCCTCGTTGGGGTCCGAAAGACGATGAACACGTTTGACTGGATACACTTGCTGATATGGCTAGGAGCCGACCTCAGTGGCGTTCGTGCTGTGAGTTTCTTTGTCCCACCCCATCCCTCT